ATTAGACAATAGTTATTCTGTATGATATATTCACTTCTCTAAACATATTATGTTCATCTTTGAAAGTCCCTTTCCACTTCTCATGAACTTCAACAATTGTTATGACAATTGTGTTAGTCCAGGTAGACTAGAGAAACAAATCCATAGAAACTCATATGTGTATAAGAAAGAGGTTTACATACAAGAGCAATTGAATATTGAGAAAATATCCCAGCCTGGTCCAGATCAAGTCCATAAGTCTGATATTAGCCTATATGTCTGATATCCATCTATAAAGTCCTCTCTAGACTCATGAAACACACGCTATGACACAGAATTCAGGACAAACACAGGTCAGCGGGTAGAAAGTCTTTGGATCCACTGGCACTGTAAGCATCTCAGTGCTGGCAGGGGTCTCCACTTGGCTTCTCCAGCACCCAGGGCTGCACCAGGGTAGGTCCACGTGGCTTCTCCTCAGGGATGTCTTGCAGGAAATCAGCAGAGAGAGAGAGCATCTCTCCTGACTCCAAGGAGGAAAATCCAGAGTTCCCAGAATTCTCAGGAGAAGGCCATGCCCACACAGAGGTCTCATTGGTTTTTATCTTGATTGACAGGCCAGACTCTACCTCTTCAGTCATAATCCTCTCAAATTGACACCAGATTATATAACAACCACAACAACATTATTCACTTTTGGAACACTTTGAAGAATTGCATAATTCACTCATTTTAACTCATGGGAATTTGGGTGTTAACACAAAGTTCAAATGAATGACAGCGTGTTACCCTCTGGTTGTTTGACACCGTTTCTCTGTATGTTACTGGGTGTTTACTGAACTAACAAACCAAAACGAATCAAAATGTAGTATGTCATCAAAAGTAAAATGAAATTTATGAAATGAAAAAATAAATATCGCAAGCCTAGTTCTGTCCAAATTTTTATACTGATGGATAGAATGAACATTACTATGGGAGGTTACAATATACTGTTGCCCAGATGTACATCAAAAGAGTAAGGAATGTAAATTTGTGATTTCCACATTGGGCGGCTGCACCACTACCAACCTTAGCGAGAAGCCAGATGACAAGGGCCATTTTAACACCTGGTTCACAGAACTCAACCAAAAATTCAGTATTAGCTGGTATGAACCGGCTGCATCTCACAACTGGGCACAGACGTCAAGAGCAATGGAATAGCAGTGGCAATTTACACAATAGATACTGACAAATTCTCAATGCAAGTTTTTTCTTTGGTGGAGGATTGATAAATAATTTCTGTCACAACACTTGCTAAGATAATTAGTTCGTTAGGTAGGGTTCTCTGAAGAAACAAATCCAGTGGCACTCACAAGTGTATAAGAAAGACTTTCATATCAGGAAATGATTATCACGGAGTCATCCCAGCCCAATCCCACAAAAGTCCATTAATCTGATGTAAGTGCCTCTTCAGGTTCACATAGCCCTTGCCGGTGATGTGGAAAGGTGACCTGGGAAGCAGGAAGTTCACAGGTCAGGGGGTTCATGTAGAGCACTGGCAGCTCTCAGGGTCAAGGGCCCATAGTGGGCCACTTCTCAAGGCAGACAGAATTCCAGTAGGCAGGGAGTCGGAGCGGCAGAGAGAGAGAGAGAGAGAATTTCTTTTTGTCTTGCTCTTATATGACATCAGGGAGGTGTCATCAGGTTGTGACTTGATTGACAGGTTGACTCCACCCTTAGCCAAGAGTATCTAGTTAACATGATCCCTAAATATGACAATTAGGGTAGACACAATTAAGCTACAGGCAATGAAATGCTGGTAACATGGCACTCCACAATTGTAAATTAATCAAGATTTGTAACATCTATCAATTTCCAAGGTGACATGGCCTATACCTTCAGGAATTTAAAAAATGACCTTGATAATGTATGAATATTTAATCGGAGGTGTAGGATCTGTGCAAACTGACCATAGCAAACTTTTTTATAGCTACAATTTAGTTCTGAAGATGCATCTAGTGATTTCCTATTAATATTTTGATTGGATTCAGAGGCCACATTAATAAGCCACCTTTTAAGGAGAGCTTTTTATGCAAGTAACTGTTATTTGTTTACATTGAACCTATTAGCTTCATGTGTTACTGGTGACCCTTATGAAAACCTGTCCATTAAAGTGTGGGACCAAAGGAAGGGTCCTATCAATACTTACGTTTCTTTTCATTTACAAAATTAGGAAGAGAGTGAGCCGCAGAGGGAATTCAGTGAAGAAAATAAAAGGTTAGCAGTTGCATGTGACTTACACTGGGGAAGGTGGAAAGGAGGCAATGGAGCGCAGAAAATCAGATGGATTTTTAAAAAGCAGCATTAACATAGGACAAGGGAAACTAGTATACTGGATGTCTGAGTGCAAAGTGAGGGTGTTCGAGTGAACTCTGCATTCTATGTCTACCTCACACCGTGCCATCAAGCCAGTCCCAACTCCCACGGGCTCTGTGATGCCGAGAACTGGCCCTGTGGGTTTCTGGGACTGTAACTCTTTTAAAAATTATTAATTGGGATTAAGATAGATATCAAATCATTCTACAGTTTAATCACATCCAGAATTATAATTTGCTACCACAATCAGTTTCCAAACATTCTTTTTTCTATATGGACTCCTTGACGTCATCACCCCTTCACCCTGCCGCCACTTCTGGGTCTTCCCACTCTCCTCCCCACTTGTTGACTCTATAGGTTTATCACTCTTGGTTTCCATACCCTCCCAAAATGGAAAAATATACACCACAACTACAAGAGGGTAACCCCAATGACATAACACTTCCAAGGAGCCCCTAATATGTCCAATAAAAAACCAAGCAAAACTATACAATGCCCCAATATCTACAATTTTGGAAACCAAATCAGGTCTAGCATGCATCCTGGGGGGAAATCCGATGACAAGTTTTAACTGTTCAAGTCGGGTTTCTGCCTTTGACCTTCTATACCCAACTCACCAATGCACTCCTTTAGTGACCTATCCTCCAATGGTGGGTAGAGGGAGTTTGCCAGAGGTTTATTTCCTGTATAGTTTCACCAAAGAATCTTGGGATCCCACTGTCATCCACAGCCTTCTGCAAACCAGGTTCTCAGACTCAGGCTCTGATACTCATCCCTCCCTTCAATTTTGGATTATATGCTTCACAATCCTTCGATGACTGGTGAGCATGTGCTCTTTAGGGAAGTAGAAAGCCTCATCTTTCAGAGAGACTAGTAGGTTTGAACTTCAGACCTTGCAGTTAGCAGCCCATTTTGTAACCCATTACACTACCAGGGTTCTATATACACCATTTCATTGAGTTCAGGGAATTCCTGGGGCCACTTTTAAAAACAAGAAATCAAACTCACTGTCATGGAATTGCTTCTGATTTATGGTGAGCTCACGTGTTACAAAGGAGGAGCCCTGGTGGAGTATGGTTAAGCATTGGACTGCTAACTGCAAGGTCAGCAGTTTGAAACCAAGAGTTACTCTGCTGGAGAAAGACTAGGCTTTCTACTCCTGTAAACAGTTACAGCCTTAGAAATCCTAGAGAGAAGTTCTACTCGGTCCTAGATGGTCACTATGAGTCGGAATCGAATCGATGGCAGTGAGTTTGTTTTGTTTGGTCATGTGTTATACAGTAGACTCGACCACGAGGCTTTTCTCCCACGACACTGCTAGATGGGTGTGCGCACCAGCCTCGAGTTTAGTGAGAAACAAACAGGCACTGCTAGCAAGTCAATTCCTCTTTATAGGAACCCGAAAGGACAGAGTAGAACTGCTTCCTAGGCTTTCCAAGGCTGTAAATACTTAGTGACATTAAATGCCTCATCTTCCTCCTGGGGAGCAGCTGGTAGGTTTGAAACACAGACCCTTTAGATAACAGCCAAATGTGTATCCCACAGAACCACTGGAGTTCCTGTGCGGACATCAGCTCACGATTAAAAAATTGCCATGCTTCAGCTAAGCAATCACTCTACTTCAACTAAGTAGACGATCCCCAAGTGTCCTTGTGCCCCTCAGGAGGGTACCCTTCCCCAACAGTAGCCAGGACAATGCAACACAAGGCAGAGACAGTATAAATGCACCCGCCTCTTCCCCTTTGGGAGCCTATCCTATTTAAACTATAAAAGGTTCTCTTAGAACAGCACTACTCTGCAGAAACTCTTCTGTCCAGCTGGCTGCCACTGGAAGTAGTACTACATCCTGGTAGGTGACCTCTCTCCCCAGCCATGCAAATAGAAATAGGTCTCTAGGAGCCACTCTTGGTCAGTGTTTTGGGTTGATTTTTTTTTTTTTTTGTATCTCTTGGCACCAATGTACAGTATAGGGTCCTTCCTTCAGATACTTTGTCTTACAAAATTATACTATAGTATCAAATCATGGTGTCAATTTTATGGTGCTATCCTATTATTGGCATGTACAGCTTCTTAATTAAAACATTTATCTGAAAATGTTTTAGTCAACGGATACCTTCCATTTCTATTACTCTAAATCTCTCACCAGAATACATCTAGACAACACCCAGTTTTCATGTTCAATTCTTGAGCTGACGAAGTAGGTAATCAGAAATATTTGGAGGGATGAGGGAAATGATGTTACCTAATGGATTTCATCTCCCCTAGAAATAGGCTGTTAGTTTCCTTTCCATGGGGGGGGGGGGATTTCATCTGCAGAATGCAAGAAAGAGAGAGTGGCAGAAGAACTGTGTCGCTAGACCAAGGACCAGGAATGTATTCAAGAGCAAGAGGTCAAGTTCATTTCTAATCTCCTTTAGAAGTGTTCCCATCATTGTTAGTGACCTCATGGCTGGAAATTTTGAATTTTGCTAAGAATTGTGAAGAAGGAATGGCTTTAATTAAAGGAAAAGATAGTCAATAATTGTTGGTTTGACATTTATAAGACAATAATTCTGGTAAAATCATATTTTATGAGAGAAATGGAGAGTTCTATTATGCTATTACCAGAAGCTGAGAATAAAATTAATTTAACTCAAAATAAATCTTCACAAAAGTTATAACAAACATACCTGGCAGCTTCTGAATATCTCTCCAGGCATCTAAACACTGTTGCCTGACGAAGATGATTTCGGAAATAGGCTGGATTTAAAACAATGCTCCTGTTAAAAGATAAAAGAGATGCAAATGCTATTAAGGTTTAAAAAGATGATTACCAGAAGTGGATAGGAATGAAACCACACACATTTGATTTTATGCAGTGTATATTTTAAAAGATATGAACGAAGTCCTCTTCTTCCTGTAATTGTCAGTTAAAACAAACAAGTGTTATTAATTAAAACTAATTAAAAGTTTGCGATATAAAAATATTTTTTAACAACACTAGATATTTTTGACAGGTAAGGGAAAGGCTAGAAAGAATTTGAACCCACGTTATTTTGCAGGAAACTCATGGTGATATTTTCTTTGCTTCTGTCTATAACCCAAACCCAAATTCACTGCCATGGATTTGATTGGACTCCTAGTGACTCTAGTGCAGGGAGGCCTGCCCAGTGAGTTTCTGAGACTGGAACTCTTTATGGGAATCGAAAGCCTCACCTCTCCCCCTTGGTGGTAGTTTGGAGCTGCTGTGAGCTTTTAGCAGCCCAACTCGTAACCCAATCCGGAGAGGGAAAAATATCATGGAATATGTAACATCTCTCCCATAGTGAAGGATGAAGCTGGCAGTTGTTCAATTCCAGCTAGAAGGCGGGAACTGGGATTTGATGGCCATTCTTATTTGTGTCCTACCCACTTAGTGTCTACCCAGGCAGATACTGTAGTGGAATTTGGAAAAGTGTTCTTGGCTTGGGTGTTGCTACTTTTAGTTAAGTGCCTTACTCAATTTGAGTCTCTATTTCCTCTTGATGGAAATGATAAGGAGGGACCAAACTTCATAAGGCCTTTTCAGTTCTAGAGTTCTATATCTTTACCAAATAAAATAATAATTATTGTTGTTTTCATGCTCGACGTTTCAGCAAATCTTACCCATTGTCTCTGTTGGAACAGAAGTGACTTTTATCTGGTAGGTGACTGACTTCTCTTTCATTGTTCTCTTTCCTCTCTTCAGGGTTCTGGGGTCTCAAACCAAGCCCTGTTGAGCAGATGACCCTCCTCCTGCCTTCTTCATAATGGGCAGATGCACCCCTTCTTTCCTTCTCTGACAGCCTTTTGTGGGTCGGGTACTGCTCGAAGCATTTGATAAAATGAGGTAAATCAGGAAGCTATAGTTCAGGCATCTTTACTGAATGGAGAGATGAGTAGTAATGCAAGTTTGAAAGGTAGCAAATGTCAACAGACTGTGGAGTGAGCACAATTGATGTGGGAAACAGTGAGCCTGTTTTCACAAGCTAAGATGAGAGTTTTCTGAAATTAGTTCATTAGTGAAGACAATAATTCTACTCCTTTTTAAGGGGTTCACAGAGATTTTAGAGAATCAAATGAAGGCTGTGTGATGCTATCTAGAAAAATGCATACAAAATTGTTCAAAATAGTGAAATCATGCAGCTCCTTAGGGCTGTTCATGAACTCTGGATGTAAGAACGAAACAAAATATGTACAGTAAAATAACTTCATTCTCAAAAGTGTGCTTATGGAAATAAGGAATTGGAAACAGAACATTCTGACATGACTATTACTCTCCAGACCCATCAGGAGTTCCAGACAAAAGCCATGATCGATTGAGGTGCTTACTAAGGGTACGAGGAAAGTATGTAGTTCTAACTACCAGCTACAGCCATATAACCAATCTCAGAATCGAGGATTGATGCCATTAAGCCTATTTCCTCCTTGAATGCATGCATCAAATATTTTGTTTTGTTTGCTTATAAAGTATAAGATGGGGTTAGTGCTTTTTTAGTTGCACGCAGGTATGTGTATTATGTTAGGCACAATTATGATGTTATAATTGTCTCTATTTAGGCATCATGTTATGGTTTTAGGAGATGTGGACAGGTCCCAAGTTTACAAGGGGTAAGCTGTGTTGGTTAGGTTTTGTATCAAATTGGCTGGGACAGGATTCTCAATGGTTTGGCTGTTAGCATACAGTAATCTCTCATGACCTCTAATGCAATTTGATACATACTATAATGGGGTCTGTGAGCAGTCAATCATTTATAAGAAGATTAGGGAGGGATGTGACACGCTTACTTGGGTCACAGCCATGATGGCAATTGAAAGGAAGTTTCCTTCAGGTTGTGGACTGCTTCCTGCATAAGTGGACTCTGTAGAGAAAGGCATTTGCTTTTGACTGAGTCTTGATTCGACAACAGCACACAGCATTTTCTGCCAATCCCGGAAGCCATCAGTGGCCTGCCATCTGATTTGCGATCTGAACTTCAGACCTGGGATTTATCCACCTCTGCAGGCACCAGCCTGTGGTCTTCATGCCAATCTTGGGTTCATCAATTCCCAAAACTGTGCAAGTCAGCAGAAGCCACCAGCTTAACATCTGACTCACTCACAGACTTTGAACCTGCCTGGATTTGGACTTTCCTGCTTTGATAACCGTTTGAACCATTTTTTGGGGTGTAATTTTCTCTCTCAATGTACATATATAAACATCGCTGGTTTTAACTCTCTAAAGAACTCAGACTAAAATATTACTTATAAACTTCTTTTGGGGACATTCTAAGGACATAAATATAACAAATCGTGCTCACATGTATAAACAAAAGTTATCTTTGTTGGAGAAGAATGAAAATAATTCTCCTCAGCTCTCCTGCACTTCTGCTTATCTTGTGTAGAAGACACAGAATAGCCTTTGTTCTGTACTATCTTTTTTTTTCTTTTTTCTGTACTATCTTAAAAAAAATTTTGTATGATGAACACTTTTGGCAACTATATCCAGAATAATGTCTCCCTCTGGAGCAAAATGCAAGTTTTATCGCAGCTTTGGAAGATAGAAATACAGTAGTGGTTCTCTCTAAAGCAAAAGGCTCTCCCATGGCCATCAAGTCCATGTGGACCCCTGGGAACCCTGTTTAGGGTTCCTGAGGCTATAAGTCTTGACCAGAGCACATGGCCTCAGCTTGCAGTTAACATTTCAATACTTCTCTGACTGCAGCACGAGGAGCCCTAACAGCTAATAGCCTATTGTGAAAATCTGCATTTCTTAAATTCAGAATGCAACCTAAAATGAGAGTGTCACTTGGGTTATTTTTGCCTCACTTACTGAGAAGCTGTGCTCAGGGAGCCCCTACCAAGAAGAGACGGATCCTTTGGCAATTACCGTTTCTGTGAGTAACAGCTGACTTGTTTTGACCCTGAAGGCGCATGTGTCCCCACTGATGACATCATCCAGGAAATGTTGGTAGCTTGAACGTAGGAGCAAAGCTCAGATCCTTCAGAGGCCTTAATAATGTATTATAAGAAATTTCCATGAACATACTTGAAAGTCATTTATCCCAATTTCTCATTCAATCAAGAATGTCGTCTACACATCCTGATGGATGGTCTTCTGAATATCACTTAAATGCTTCCATTACAAGAAGACTCTGTTTAAGGCCCATGTATCCCTGATTATTAAGTCTTTCCTTAATGTGAAGGGAACTGCTCATAACTTCATAATACTAGGTGTCCTGGTCTCATCTGGAATTACATAGAATAAGTATTCTATTTTCCACGTGGCAAGTCTTTGTATGTGAAAGTACTTATGAAATTTCTTAATTTTATTTTCTCTCTGCACGCACCCATTTCATTCACCATTCCTCATACATTGGGTTCTGTAGATCCATCAGACCCATTCAATGTGGTAATGATTCTCAAAGAGCCTCAGATTACAGATAAATTCAAGACACTATGTGTCTAGGTCACAGGTCAGTAAAAATATTGCTTCTATTGATTAAAAATAAAATTACATGTACAATTTTTACAGCTCTACCACATTGTCATGCCTCATTTGGTTTGCAATGAGTTAAAGTATCTGCATCTTTTCTGCACTGTCAAATTCAAGCCACACCTATTTTGTAAAACTTATTTTTAAGATGTATACGATAGATAGGCTCTTTATTTAAAGGCAAAGTTTAATGGTTGTGAGGAAGAGTCCCCAAAGTAGAAGACCGAGAGAGGCTAGAATAAAGACAGCAGGCTCGACTTTTCCAAGATTTAAGAACAAAATGTAAAGAGAACCCAATAAAGCCAATACCCAAGAAACGCAGAGAATTTTAAGAGAATGAAAACAAAATGAAAAAATGGCAACAACAAGTCTGTTGTCCAAACCAGCAGCTCTCAACCTGTGGGTTGCGACACCTTTGGGAGTCGGACAACCCTTTACAGGGTCGCCTATGACCTGAGGAAAACGCGTATTTCCGATGGTCTTAGGAACCGAGACACCGCTCCTCTCATCTCCAGGTGGGTCTGCCCACATGCAGAGTACCCGGTGTGAAGACTGGGACCCATGCTACACCATGCGTCAAGACAAAATGTCACTGATTTGTCATTAGAAATAAATATTTCACAATGTATAATTACATATTGTTTTCGTGATTAATCACCATGCCTTAATTATGTTCAATTTGGAACAATGAAAATACATCCCGCCTATCAGATATTTACATCATGATTCATAACAGTAGTAAAATGACAGTTATGAAGTAGCAATGAAAATTATTTTGTGGTTGGGGTCATCACAACATGAGGAACTGTATGAAAGGGTTGCGGCATTAGGAAGGTTGAAAACCACTGTCCTGAAAACAGCACAATTAAAATAGAAAAAAAACTCATGCAGATTTGAAGGAAAGAAGCCCATCTTTATTTGTTGAAGACATAATCTACGTAGAAGATGACACAGTATTCATGGAAGAGCTTTTAGAACCGATGAATTAGCTTAGTAATACTGGTAGCTGCAAGATCCACACATAAAAATCAATTATGTTTTTATAAACTAGCACTGGCAAATTATAAATTGAAATTATTACCAATGACCTGAGATACAGTATGTTAAATGCCTTGACATAAATGGAACAAAACATGTACAAGGTGTCTCCATGTGGAAAGAACCACATACTAAAAAGTTAAATAAAGATACATTTAGATAAATAAAATGCATTATGGAGATGCATACAATATACATCACACATTAATCAGAAAGGGTAATATTGTTGTCATTACTCCTCCAAACCTT